TACTAGGATTCTTCTATATTGTGTAAGACCACAATATTAATTGCTGTGTTTTATGCATGTCAGATAATTTGTAAAACCATAAACATCTTTGGGTTCTGATAGTACCCAAGGGAGAATATACATACTATGAACCACTTCAAACAGAGATAGATCATTTTTCCTGGGGATTTAAATAACAATCAGTTTCAAGAAAAAGAAATTGATTTTAGAGTATTTTATCTTAAGGTAGTCTACTCCTGGGTTGGTTAGGCTGGATCAGACAAAGGAGAACTAGTTTGTTAAAGTAAAACACTAGATACGATTTCTCCTTAGCTATTTATTTTTCTGCTTCATGGAAGGAACAGAGCTGAATATACAAAATTCTAATACTGGGGTATTTTGGAAATAGTTTATTTTTAAGGAGGCACTGTAGGCTTCCTATTAACTTCAAGCTTACTATTGGATTGAGCAGATTTTTACTGTATTGGTTACATGAAACAGAAAGGTGACTTGTGGAAATTTCAGTTTATCATCTGAAACAAGGAAAGTAATAGAGTATATGTGTTATGTTAGTTCCTGATTACAAAGCTACCGGTGTAGAAGTTGTTGTTCCTACTGTACATCTTAAACACTAATGCCTTTTCAGTTTTGGGATACTGGGGATTGAACCCATGGCTTTGCATATGCTAGCTAAGTACCTTGCCACTGAGCTGTCTCCCCAGCCTAACACTGATATGCTACCAGTGCTGTGATATCATGTCACAACGAAGCAATATTTATCTGGTACTGTAGTGTCTTTAAGATATAGTAGCTGACTTTCCCCCTAATGTTCTCAGGTATACTGTGATATTCCTGATATAAAATGTTATTCTGTAAATTTATTCTGGGAGTTCAGTGATTCATAACATAAATTCCTTCTTCCTCTTCCCCCTAAGTCTTGAAGTCATATTTTCACAGAAGTACAAAGGAAAGAAAATAAATGATATAATGTAATATTACAAATATGTACCTTGCAGATCCTAGTCATTTTATCTCACAGTTGGGAGGTAGGGCCTATAATATATAATTATTTTTCAAACACATGCTTGGTTTTACTGTAATCTTGGTCACAACTTTTTGGCACAGTTCCTAAAATTAAATTTGCCAAGATATCACTGCTGTTAGAGAACCTTGTTGTAATACCTGTCTCATTGGCAACATCAAAGCCCCAAACCTCAGCTTCATTGTTTTGTCTCTTAACTGAAAGATCTCAAGATCATCTTCAAAGCTCTACTGAATGAGCCTGGCTTCATTGTAACGTGTGATTTCTTCCTGAATAGCTCCTGAGTATGTTGTCTTTTCTCTTTTATCTGTTTTGTGTCTTTTCTCTTGACTGTACTGGTATTCTCTTGGTCTCAGCCACCCTCTCATCTGAACAGCTCAATCACTTAAGCCCTGGTACACTTGAGTCACAATTCTGGTAGATTATGTTGGCTGCCTTTCTTCCAGTGCGTTAGGCCCATCGTGTTCTTTCCACCCCAGGGTCTTGTATATATTCTGTCCCCTATTGGCAATCATTTCTCCTTTCTTTGCCAGATTATCTCTGTCTTCCTTCAGTATAGTCATAACTTCCTAGGGGAAACCATTTCTCTTCTGCTGTAGTAGATCAGGTCTTTTTTTCAGACAGGGTTTCATGTAGCAAAAACGTGCTTTGAAGCCATGACTGTCCTTGAACTCCAGATCCTCCTGCCTATACCTACCAAGTTCTGGGATTACAGGCATGGGCCAACATGCTTGGCAGTAAATCAGATTTTTATAGATTTCATTACACCCCTACTTTTTTTTGAACTTTAAAAAATTTATTATTTTTATTTTATGTGTATGAGTATATTGCCTGCATGTAGGTAAGTGCACCTGTGTCGTGCAATGCCTGTGGAGGACAGAAGAGGCTATCGATCCCCTGGGACTGGAGTTACGGACAGTTGTTAGCTTCCATGTGGGTGCTGGGATTTGAACCCAGGTCTACTGCAAGAACAGCCAGTGTTCTTAACCACTGAGCCATCTCTCCAGCCCCTACTTTTTCTTTATAATGTTCATTATACTTGTAGAAATACAGTCAATTGTTTTTTGCATGTGTGGCCCATTCCTTGGACTAAAAATTCCATAGGGGCAAGGTTTGAGTCTCTTCTGCTTTCCTCTTCTTTCTGTTTGAAATAGAGCACAGGCTGGCCTCAAATTTCTGGTATTCCTGCCTCCACCTCCCAAGTGC